ATCTTAGACAGAGGAAACACCAAAATTACTGCCAGGGAATTCTTAGAAGCCTGGCACTCAAACGAATCAGCCAGCGATTAACAAACACGTTAATATAGACGAAATATATCACCTAATAAAAAGTAAATCAGGTGACCAGAGAGTTTAAAATCCAAGTCAATAGAAAATGGTCAATACATGTGTAAAGATGGTCACCAGGAGACGTAATTCTCTCACTCATGAAGAAATTTAAATCATTTCACTTTATGCTAAAAATTGCGCTGAAGGGGGATGTTGTCCAGAAAGAAGGACGACGAAAGCTCCACAACTAAATCAACCAGCTCAGGGAATACTACTAATCGCATAGCTCCTACATATTCTATATTCCTTACTTTTATGAACAGTATTCGTGTTTCTAAGTGTTTAGTATTTTAATGGTAACCCTTCCTGGGGGATATTCACCGCTTGATGTTTTTAGATTAAGTTGGACTACTTTGTCATACTCTGCAATTTATCCATTTTTCCATTTCAGTATGGAAGTTCGTATATTTTGGTATCAGTTGATATTAATAACTGACCTTTATAGGAGTTTCCATAACCTTTGAGAACATTGTATAACTGTACAGTATTGACGTAAAGTTACCAGAAGAATTTTGTTTGCTGACGTGCGTCTTTTCAATTACTGGCAATTTTTTTTAAGAGTTATCCTCCATCTAATACTGGTTAAATTTCATTGGGAATACAATAATGGGATATTCAAGTTTTGGTCTGCATGGATTTGATTGGTTACAGGCTTGATCATGAGCTGATGTTGCTTAGAGAAGCATTGGAAAACCACCTGGGAGTACCGGATAACTGTTCTGTCCTAGTTTAGGACTCTTCGTCAGTATGCACACACCACAGAGGGTTCGAACGCAAGATCTTCCGGTTACTAAGTGAGCTCATGGACTATTAAGCCACTGGTACCTGATCCAGTGGTGCATGAATCCTAACCAATGTCATCGGTGGCGAGTATGTGTCCTTACATTCGACCTGCAGTACCCAATAGCTGCCCAGTACTCTCAGGTTTTCCAATGGTTCCCTAACCAATGTCAGCTCATGATAAACTCCTTTAAACAATAATTTGGCTTCATTGTATGGTAGAATTTTTCATTCATCACTGAATATTTATTGAAACTGATAAATAATAGGTAATTCCATCTCGATATTCAACCAGTGCGGTTAGTTTGCTATTAATACGCTAAAATGTTTACTGTTTCTAACGACGTTACATTTGTTACTGTGGTGATTCATTCCTTGCATTCCAAATGGGGCATAAGGTTCCAGCGGCACATCTGTGTTCCACTCACTTCTCTGACGCCATTTTTTTTTCAAATGGCTCCACAACTCATCACTGACTTTCATCTCCTTATTACATAATCCTTTTTGTAAAACTTCCAGACAACTAACCCATCGTTTCCCGTCGTGGTTCCACTCTACGGTTTTGTGAATAACATTAGTTAGATATCTCCTCAGTATATGTCAAATTCATCTCCAATTCATTTTGCATATTAGTAGAGTTCTTGGCAGATGAATTTATAATCTAAGCATTATTCAAAATTTATACATTATACTGGTTTGAACTTTAGGTTCAGTTTGTTTATTTTATGCGAAAATATTACCAGGTTTATAGTACCAGTATTCTTGTTTTAACAATGTACAATATTTACCTTTTGTACGTCAGTGCTGATGCAAGTCATTCGATCAAGAATTACAGAGGTGTTAGCCATTATATTTCAATGATTTCGGATGTTCACTGTTTAGACAGATTTAATCAGGGGATTGTATTCCATCGGAAAACGCTGTTTATTCAGGTGTGTATGTTATATTTGGTTAGGTGATTTGCCCTTACTAAAAGGACATTCACCTTCTCACAATCATATGATTTGCTTCTTGATGAGGCATATTTATGACTGCCTATATTATCAAAAAGCAACGCTGTTTGCCATGTTAATCACACATAACGACATCCACAATAACACTTCTCGGATGTGTGTAGTTGCCAGTGTATATTCCACAAAGAACTCATTGTTGAATCTGATGTCTTACGCCTCATCCACCCAAACTCTATACTGAAAATCTAACTTCGTGATTAATCTATGAAAGTGAAAAATAATCGACTCATGTGTATGCGTTAACTACACTCTCACATTAAATGACTGTGACAGTAAGGAATTTTAATGGGAATTCGTGAACAGTAGGGTCCACTACATCAGGAAAGAACAACAGATACTTACTGATGACACTGGCAGGCAGTTGTTCTGCATATATTATGAACTGCCAGAAGCTGGAATTCATTGGCCCTTGGATCGGATCTCAGTGGCTGAACAGCCTACGAGCTCGCCATATGACGAGAAGGTCCTGGGTTCTAACCACGTTGGGTGCATACTTCTACAGAGTCTCAAACTAGGACGGGACAGCTATACTCAACTGTTATTCCCGAACCACACACCGTACAGTGATAAAGTAAATAAGGAAAGGAAGAATAAATTTAGGTTTTTGTAAAACCACGACGAGACGAGGCTTTATTTTCATGTCCTTTGAACAAAACACGTTAAATCAAAGGAACAAATACCATTTTGAAGCGCTTATCCTTACGCTTGCCTGGAAATAAAAATAACTGAATATCATTACTGCTGACAGAACCCAGCACTTTCAGGTGCCTTAACGAGCCCTTTGATCATCCAGCTACTGAGGTGGAACTCACTGCCCAACCCATAAATTCACGCTGAAGCCCTTACCCTTACGTTTTCCTCTTGTTGTTCTGACGACAAGGACAAATGAATATTACTACGTCGTTTACTAAAGAGTGTAGAAAAATTTCTAAAATACCTCTTAGACTGTGTGCATAACTCACGTTTACATAACGAGATTATTATTCTCTTTGCTTCAGTGGTAGACCGTCCGGGTTTATCACTAAGGATCTTCAAGAATACAAATATTGCAATCAGAATCAAGGGTATTAGCCTGACTACATATGCGTTGTTTTACTAACCAGTCAAGAATCTACTGCCCAACTAGTAAGCAGACGAAAATGAAGGTAGACTGGACATACTCTGAGAAAGCCAGGTCCTCAAGTGGATGTCCGATAGGGACTTAGGGAAAACCATGTGATGATGAGGAAATGAAAGCTTGTGAGCAGTCGCAGAACCACGGTGGAAGTGATGGCAGAGAACCGGGTGGAATCGAGATATATTGCTGAATCCCTACGTTCCACATGGAACTCAAGGAATGAATAATAGTATAATAATAATAATATTGGCTTGTTTTAAGGATTTATGATAAAAGTCAATTTTAGTCTGGAATCGACTTCAATCAGAGGCTCACTGTAAACAGGGGAGTACTGGACAGTTTCGATAGTGTAGAATATTCCCATATTATGAATTAAAAGTCAATCTGAACGGAGAATATTCTTTTCAATAATTTCTCCTCTTCAGGTTCTTACAATTATAAAATATAACATTTTTGTTGTCGTTACAACAATGGCCAGTTAGTTATGCGGTGGATACATTTTATTAACGTGGAATAACAGATTAGCAGTTATGGGTGTCAAAATAAATAGTCGTATTTGTGTGACAAACGTGATCTGGGCTGAAATCGATTACAAAATATTTCGGTAAAACGGGAGACAATGGTGGTGATTAATCATAATAGATTTGGGGAATGTGGGGTAGGAAAATTGACAAGTAAGTCAGTTCAAGGTTACTAAAGGTATCAGGTGAGTGAGTGGCTAGTACAAAGTGGTCTGTGTTAAACAGGAGATAGTAAGACTGCAATGAGAGGGTTCATAATGAAATAACGAATATGTGAAATGAAACAGGTGGAGGCATTTATTGATAAAAAAGATAATATCACTAATAATAAGTCCGGAAAGTATAAATGAAAAATTCGATAGTATTGAGAGAATGTTTGCATGAAGGGCATAAATTATGACGAATAATATTAATATTAATAATAATAATTGTAATAATAAGCAAAGGAAAAAAACCAATAGGGTTAAGCGGAAGAAGCACTCTGGGTGAGAAAAAGAATTATCAATCCAAGTTTGGCCACGTTAGGAACAGCGTCTGGACGTGTTCCTTTTGGATACAAAGTTCCGGTTTAGTCGATCTTATTGCAACAGCTTCAGCTATGTGTGTAGGAGACGTAAGCGAACTGTACGTGATAACGACTTCGGAATTCGGTATATAAGCCTGAAAGCTGTGTTGACATCGATATGATGTCCAGTATCGACCAAGTATGACAGGATCGAGCTTTTTATGCACTTAATTTCCCTCCTGCTGAACCAAGCTGGTAAATGTTGTCGACCCCGTAGACGAACCTGCCTAATCGTGCGCCCTATATAACTTGAACCACAGAAACAGTTGAAATGGTATATGCATGAAGAAGAGCTAAGCTTAGGTAAAACATCTTTGAGTTGCTGAGTGAACATTGGACGGCTACTGAAGGATAGACACAGACGTGCAGAGTAGAAAGTTTTCTTGATCGCCCTGGTTAAACGTTGCGATAGAATCTCTGCAGGAGTATCTCCCTTGAATTGGAGACGTAAAAACGGACGTAAAAACTGGACAACTGTTTCGTCCGCGCTTGCGGTTCTTCAGTAATCATCCATCACTTCACCGGGGCTCGAACCCAGGACCTTCACTTTACAAGAAGAGCTCGTATACCACTCAAACACTGCGACAGAATCCACCGGTTAGTCCATGAATTCTAACTTCTGTCACTCCACAATATAGCCCGACCACTAGTCAATCTCACTGGTGAGTATCTGCCCTCACTCATAACTTGATGGACCCTGATAATCACGACTTTCCACTAGACCGTCAGGTAACTTCAAGCTTCTTTATTATCCTTTATATAATTAGTAAACTATTGCTTGTATAACTAATTCTGCAGATCTTCTCATTCACTATTCCCTTAGACTGGAAGACTTACAATAAACAAATTTAAGAAGAAAAAATCATCGCTATCACCATAAAATAATGCCAACTGCCTGTTTGGAGAAAACCTCATCACGTGGTAACAGTATAGCACGTAAAGAATACAATAAATTAATTGGAGAATTAAATAATGAAATTGAACGATTATCTTTACAAAATAGAAGCTTAACTGAAAAATTAGCCATCAGTGAAGATCAAATCTCGGTTGGTAGAAAAAATGAACGTGATCTTGGTAAGTTAATTAAGTCAATGTATTTCCTTTTATATATATTGATATAAGTATAAAACTTGGGCACTGTGGCACTGTGCGTCGGTGGCACAGGGGTCATGACTCTCGCCGACCATGTACATGGTCCGGGATTCGATCCCCTGCCGACGCACACCTGATATCTACGGTCAGCCGGCAAAATTTGGACTACCGATATCACATGCTGAAAATTCCATACTAGTACCAAAAATACGGTGTTGAAACAAGCTGTTATTAAAAAAAATCCATTACAGATAAGATTTTATTTTGATAAATCACACAGTGTGTGTTATGCAGTAATATTAACTGATGACCACGTTTCGAGCACAAATTATTACTGCTCATAATCATATTAAGTCACTCACACACAACTTTTTACTTCATTTACATACATGAGTGAAACTGATGATTAGACGTTTGAATAAAAATCAATATGGGATAAAGTACATTCAGAAATAATAATATGAGTGTTATCTATCAAATACAATCAGATGGGAAATAAGACGAATGTTTTTTATAGTCAAAATAAATAAGTAACTTGTTAGAATGTTGTGATGTACGTGAATTGAGATAGAATTTTAACGAGTTGATCACGGATTGATATCAGTTAAAGAACAATCGAAAACCAGCACTGAAGTACTGGACAGCTGTTCTGTCAGGCTAGTTTGGGAATCATCAACAGTACGCACCCACCACCAAGGTTCGAACCCAGGACCTTGAGATTACAAGGCAAGCTCGCACACCATTCGCCCACTGAGACCCGATTCAATGGCTAGCCCATGAATTCTAACTTCTACCAATTCGTGACTTAGCGAGACCATCAACCAATGTCATCAGTGGGACATCCACCGTCACACGTGACTGGATGAACCTAACTGGTCACGATTGCTGTCTAGAACTCCAGGAAACTCCATCCTGTAGCAAACTAGGGTGAAACAGCTGTCCAGTGCTCCCTGGTTTTCAATGGTTCTCTAACTGATATCAATCCGTGATCAACTCGGAAACACAAAACTAATCCCTACAAATCAACTATAGAAAATAGAATTTTAAGATTATTTATTATCCTGCTCTGATTTGACTGACTGGTGGAAACAATATCTTCCATATCTCTGGCATTTGCGTTGAGTCATTTCTGATGCATGTGTTGGGTGCAGATTCAATGAACCAGGATTCAACAATCAATCTCTCTCTCCACCTACATAGATTACTTCTTAGAATCTTAACCCTGTCCCACCCTATTGTGTGGTTGTGTGTTAATGGATGCAGTGCAATTACTGAGCTTTTTTCTAAATTACTTTTCTTCTCTAGGTCAACCATTCTTATCTTAGCTAAATTCTTATGTTCTGATAGCCTGACTACCCCTGATCTACTAGTTTGACCTATGTAGTTGACCTCATAGTCATCCCAGGGTATTTTGTAAATTATATTATTTTGTCTAATTGGGTCATTCGACGGGGTCCTTTAGCCTACAGAGTTTGTCCTACCTAAGTGAGTTTCTAGGTTTGAATGCCGCCCTAATTCATGCTTTATTGAATGCATGAAGTAAAAAGTTGTGTAAGTATCTTGATATGATTATGAGGAATAGTTTGTGCTCGAAACGTCCTCAGTTAATTTTACTGTATAATACTGTGATTTGTCAAAATAAAATCTTATCTATAATGGATATATATATATATATATATATATATATATATATATAGTGACTATGTTATTGATCTACAATCAATGAAGATTAGGCAAATGTGGAATAAACTGTCAACTGTTGGTTTGCAGCGATTTGATTGGTTACAGGTTTCATCACGAGTCAATATCAGATAGAGAATCCTTACAAAACGTAGGAGTACTACACAACTATTTCGTCCATTGTTTGAGACTCTTCATAAGCGTAAACCCACCAAGGATCGAACCCAGGACCTTCCGGTTACGACTGGCTCTAAACAGAAAGTTGACTGGGTTTCTAGTGGGAACTCATAACCAGCAGGGTCCACCAAGTCACTCAAGAGGACAGTTACTCACCCATGACATCGGCTGATGGATATGCTGAATATTTATCAGGAATTGGCAAAAATTGGAATTCAGCAACCAGTGGGTCGGGTCCAAAAGGCTGAATGGTCTACGAGTTCGCCTTATAACTGGAAAGTCCTGGGTTCAACCCCCCATTGGATGCGTACTTATGAGAATACCCGAACTGGGACGAAATAGATGTCCATTACTCCCAGGTGGTTTCCAATGGTTCTCCAACTGATGTCAGCCAGTGATCAATGCAGAATAAACAGCGTTTATGTGTCTCTATTTCATTGTTAAGTTGCTCACCAAATAATCGGGAAGTCTAGGTTCGATGCCCATCCGACGCATTCCTAAAAGGTGTCACTTAGTTTATTGGCCAATATTAAGCCTGGGAAAGGTGGAAAGATGGATATGGGGCTAGTGACTCTGGCACTAGTGAAACTTTAAAAGTTCAATGGTTGGAGGAAATCCTACCGAAACTTTGATTTCGTACTTGTTAGCAGTCATCGGCAAGACGTATCTGTAACCTAGAAGGAAATGCTTTCCTCTCTGATATTCAAACTCACCTCATTCAATGATGAATTCCAACAGGTTTCCACTGAGCTATTCGAGCTCACGACTGACCTCCTGTAGGACTGTGAAAGATGCATTGATTCTTCACCAGGGACTTAGTGTGTGATGTCATGCGTTAGTTGCTTATTGTTGGTGCTGAATGGAATTTCCCACCAGTCAGGTTTTACTGTATACACATTAAAAACAGTCTGAGAACAGACTACGCTCATGAAGCTTTGGCTAGCCACAGCAGAGATACCTTCATTGGATGCTAGGCAGTAATTTATTCCATGCGTCTAGTCCTTGGTGATCGTGGTGACTGAATTCTATCAGTCAAGTTTACAGTGTGGCCATCATGTTAAGTGGCTCACCATCATGATGCACTTTGAATTGGTGTTAGACAGTTGGAAGCAGTCTACAGGAAGCCCTGTCTGACCTGCTTTTCGTCAGTAACAACAATTCAGAGTGCACCTTTATGGCGAGCCACCTAGCATGGTAGTCATACTTCAAACCTAACTGATAGAATTCAGTCTGACTCGAACAAGGGAACATACTTATGACACTTGTTACCATTTAGTACTTGGGGGTCATTCTCTAACCCAAATAGCTCATTGGTGATGTCTCTGACTGGAGCACTGGGTGATGCAGGTTTGAAACTCAGAAAAAATACGAGTTTCTTCAAGATTGCGGAAAAGCCTTTCTAACTGGTGAGTTCAAACAAGTACGAAATCTTGGTCAGACAGGGATTCCTGACGACTACCTCCAATCATCTCATATAAAGACAATTAGCTCACTGGATGATGTAGAAACACTCTTTGATTAGTAAAACATTTATTCCCAAAAGTGGGAAAATAGTTTTATCTCCTAACACTAGTTCTCTGTATTGATTTTTTCTCTTTCTATTCAAGAAAATCATAATAAAGCTTTAGTTGAAGAATTATGCCAATTGAGTAAAGCAAATTTAACACTGAAAGATGAACGTCGACATGAAATTGAATCAATTGAAGAGGAGACAAAACGTCTACATATTCAACTGGATGAAGCAATCAGACAAAAAATTGAAGCAGAAAAACAAATTCAAAAGTTAAATATGGTTAGTATTGAATAAAGGTTGTCTGTTAAATTTTTCACAGTTATTATTATTATTATTGTTCCCTTGCGTTCCTAGTGGAACATAGGGCTTCAACTACACGTCTCCACTTGCTTCTGTCTTCTGCTGTAATTTTCACCTGCATCCATGTTAATCCATACTGTTTCAGTTTCTCTTCACACGATCTCCTCCATGTCACCCTTGGACGTCCCACTCGCTGCTTCCCTTTCGGGTTCCACTCGAGCGATGGCCTGACATGCGATGTCACCCAGCGGCCTCCTCAGCGGGTGTTCAATCCATCTCCACTTTCTCCTGCATATTTGTTGGGTGATTGGTTCTTGTTTCGTTTGTTCCCATAGTTTCTTGTTGGTCTTGTAGCTTTCATATAAATATCCTCATTGGATGAGAATTACCCTAGAGTTCTTATACGATCACCTCGAATGCAGACAACACTCGCTATTCGTTTCCTCTAGGTAACAGACAGATGGTCTATGGAAACACCCATCCGGGGTGAATCACAAATGAGTTGCTAAATAGCTTGAGTTGCATACCAGACTCAAGTAGGTCGGGAGAGTGTTTAAACATACCCTCTTACGATGTGTAGGCATTATTGATTATTTGGTATTCAAAGACTGAATTTCGGAACCAAAGATTTCTACAACAAACGGCTAGTTTCATTGCTCCAATTTCTGTTATTCGTGGGAAGAACTCTGCCTGTGCAACTGGAGAGCCGTGTTAGTAACCTCCACGCATATGGACCTCATCGGCAGTGTTAAAGTTCATCATTCTATCAGTAAATCTGACTCGTGCCACAATCTGCCAGAAGGAATTCCTTATGACCAGAAAAGAGGATTGCACAATAAGAAGTGTATATAGAAAGCCTACATGAACTGGTCAGTATATTCACTTTTTCAGCTTCGTGCCCTTGAAATACAAACGCAATCTGATAAAGTGCTTGGTTCACAGAGCAAGAGCAATTTGGTCGGATGAATGTCTTAGTGAGGAACTTAATAATATTAAACGGTTTCTAAGTGAAATTGGTTATTCAGAAAGATTCATCAATAAGAATATGAATCTAAATTTAAAGCAGCCCAAGGTACCAACAGTTCCTAAAAAGGCCTTATTCTTACAAATGCAGTTCCTTGGGGACAACGTCAGCGCGATACTAACACAACGCCCTAGCAATGCGGTAAGAAGAGCATTCCCTGTTACTGAATTACGCTGTGTCTTCAAAACCACTCCTCTTCTGCGTTCGGGAGTAAAAGACAGACTGCCTAATTTCGGCTCTTCCATGTGTATTTACCAATTAACCTGCTCATGTGCAGCCAGTATACAAAGGCGTGTTTCTCGTCGAATTTCCGAACATCCCTCTGCATGGTGGTTGGTTAAGTAAAGGACAAGCAAAATCTATTCACATAGTGATATTCAATCTCATCTTGTGGATACAGAACACAAGATTGATGTCAGCGAGGATACTTTCAAATTGATTTATCCCATACCAACAAATCTTAACTTCGCCTTAAGAGTTCGATTACTAAATATTGCTGAGGCTGGCTGTTGGGATCCACATTAAGAAGCCTAATTTATGTGTCCAAAAGGAGCTAGTTCAGACATTATCACTACCTTGGCCATCTAGGTTCGACTGATCCTCAATTTCTGTGGAATTTTCCTAATTTTAGTTGATATTCTATTTGCTACTATATCTTTATTATTATTATAATTTAAGCATCTTTAATGAACTGTAATTCCACTGTGATCTTACTTTACAAATCGATATTATTTAAAAAACTCGCCAATATTGTTATTGACTACTAACAAATACTAGTCTACTTTTTGTAAAACACTTAAACAGTGTGTGCTTTTGCATGAGTGTTTTAGTGACTGCTTTCGACTATAGTTCATTGTCATGCATAACTGAATATATATATATATATTCCTTCCCTAAAGACTTGTTAACTAAATCCAAGGGTTATTGAATACCAACTTAGTCAATGGGCTCACCTTGCAACAATAAAGTCCCGGGTTCGAACCCCGTACGGGTATAGGTGATAGGTGCGTGCCGCTGAAGCAGCTGTATTATGAACGAGTGGAAAGACTTAGTAGGAATTATCATCTTCAAGCGATACAAGTGTTATTTAGACCCCTTCATACATGTTATTTTAATATTTATTATAGATGCTTATTCCAGCTGAGGGCAATAAATTATATTCTTATGTCCGGTCCTATGAAAGTCAAATAAAATGATGTGTTTGCCGAAAAGTTTTGCAATCTATCGCTTATCAATTTAGCAAGAACACTACATAAAAGCACATATAACATGTTATGCAAATAGCATAGTATCAGCTTTCAAACCGTTACTCTTCTAACAACTGTGTTTAGAAGTTTTCGATTTTTTCTGCTTCATAGGAAACCAGTTTTAATCGACCGACCACAATTAACGACTCCACAGCAGAACTTCTCATTTCTTCTGCCATCGGAACAGCTTTACCAACCAGCCTCAAATATGGTATAGACACATTCTATGTCTACCTGCTTAATTTCCCCTTTTGATTACAGAAAGAAGACATATTGAACGATTGATTTCTCGGTAACTCTAAACTATGGCCAACCAAAACGAAACTACCTCTAACGACCAATCAGATTCGTAAGAAGTAGAAGTGCGCAATTTGAAATAAACGTCTGTATACAAGTAATGCAATGTTAAAAAAAGTGGTTACATAGGATAATACTTTTGTATATGTCTCAAAAAAACCTCCCAGTTTCTCACAGAATTACTCTAAGTCGTGTTAAAACCAATTTCTGTAAATAAATTCGTCAAGGTCATCAATTCGTTTGTTGGTTAGTTTCGTTTTGCACTGCTATAGTTTAGAATCACCGATTTCCTGAAGCGTCTCTTCCACCAGCTTCTTCTATACTTGAAATGAGGAGTCTTTTCGACTGTAGCCGGAAAATAGGTCTGTTTAAATAACCAGTAACGATAGGGTTATTTTTACGGACAGCATCTGTTGGCCTCCTACCTAATCTTCCCCCTCTTCCCGGGCTTCGGACCGGTTAGCAAACTAGTCGTGTGTGGATACGATTAAACAATACAATTGAAATTGAGATTTTTTTCTATTTTTCCGAATAATTCGGTTTCTTACTCAGGTAAAGTCAAAAATTTAGAAACAATGTTTGAAAGCATAGCTATTTTGAGCTAAACTAAATTAGCGGCTTAATCCTGGACAACATCCGTGTCAAGCTACTCAGCTTGTATCGACTTTCTGGGTCACTCCTTTGGCTTTATGCAGAGTACGGGGCTCTTGGTGGTTATGGGGAGTCATATAAGCAAGAGGGCTGGGGCCTGAGGGGTCTCTCGGCTAACGGATGGCTGTGCTCAGCTGGTAATCCTCAACGTGGTCATGGGGAGGGCACTCTATAGTCGGTCAGCTAAGTACGGTGTCCATTGGGTAGTGGATTGGCGGTTGGGATTTCGCCAATCAAGAGGCCGGTGAAGCGGTTATACACGCAATGTCCCTGATTAGATGTTCTGGTATTGAGGCGTGGGGATGCCATTGGCTGTTTTGTCTCTGATGGAATAGCCAACCCCACAGAAGCTATTGCTTGGTCTTTGGTTTGACTTGCAATAGTGGAGTTGGTACACAGGTAAAAACAGTAGCGGCTTACTTTGTGTGTGTGTGTGTGTGCGTGTCCTTAGATGACATGACTGCATGTTAATTGCTAACGCCTACTCATTGCTTTACTTCTTCCTCCTTTGATGAAAGAAAGTAATCTTGAATATCAATAATTATCATCGCATGACTAAGCAATCCTTTTGTTTTGCTTTCTCTGAAATTTTCTATGATCTTAAGTCAACTTTACGTGAGAAACAAGGCTTTGATAATAATGATTTGACAATTATGGTAACAATGTATGCTAATCAAGTATTGGTTTTGTAGGGATTTTCTTTGATTGGTTGGAGGATTTCATCATGAGCTGACATTGGTTAGAGAACCATTGGAAAACTACCTGGGAGTACTGGACAGCTGTGTCGTCCTAGTTTGTGACTCTTCATCAGTACGCACCCACCACGGGGGGTTCAAGCCCAGAACCATCTGGTTACAAGGCTAGCGAGCTCGTAGACCACTGAGCCCCTGGGACACGATCCAATGGCCCATGAATTCTAACTTCTGCCAATTCACGACATAGCTCAATGGTCTACGAGCTCGCTAGCCTTGTAACCAGAAAGTCCTGGACTCGAGCCCTGGCGGTAGGTGCGTAACTGATGAAGAGTGTCAAACTAGGCAGGCGAAACAGCTGGCTGTCCAGTACTCTCTGCCTGGTGGTTTTCCAATGGTTCTCTAACTGATGTCAGCTCATGATGAAATCCTCCATGCAATCAAACAATATAAATATGTTTGAATACAAGATCAATAGTTGAAATTAAAAGTCACCAATCACCTTTTAGCCTTCACCTTTAGGGTGAAGTTTTATTTTTAAGTCCATTGATAAGCGTTTGTTCATTTGACGCACATGTCTTTCACACACCACCCACACACACACAAACTTTGAGAACAACTAATCGCTTTACTCACATATCAGGTAAGTTTAATTCAACAAAACAAAACAAAAAAATGAAAGGAAAGTAGAAATTTATGTCTCATGTCAGATTAAATGAAAACAAACACGGCTTTCATTGCGTAACTAATAGCAACGTAGATGATAAACAAAAACCGCACAACAACAACAAAACCAATAACAATGACAAAATGAACATTATAGTTACAGTAACTTGGTAACAAAATTGATGGTATTTTTAAATTTGTCCAATTCATTGTTTACATCTTGTTTCCTATGTCAAAAATTGAAATGTTTGGGGGGGGGGGAGGGCAAAATTTTGCTAATTCCTATGTTTAATAAACATCATTTTTCTTGTGTGGTCATCCTCATGATACGTTGGTCATTCAACCATTCACTGTTCTATTTTTTTATCACTGTCCATTACCTCTACTCAAAGAGTTGGCTCA